AGGTGTTTCGATGCACTAAGTTCTATGGCCAATATTGCTGGTTACCGAGCAGTGGTTGAAGCCTCTAATCACTTTGGCCGTTTCTTCACAGGCAAGTTTGTTTGGAAAGAGGAAGTTGTAGTGTGGACCTGTTGTACTGAGCCAATGTAACCAGCATTTTATCATCACCTCAGTTTCCTGTATTTTCTGCTTGCTATTTTGCCTTGGCAGTAGAGAGGTAGCCATAAGTTTGATATTCTCTTCCAGTATATTTGTAAGATGTTCCAGAATTATAGAAAGTAAATAATATAGCTATGTTTATTGCAGTCCACTAGGTTGATTTTATAACTTCAAGCTCGGTCACCATAGGAAAAATAGACAAGTTTTTGACTGGTAAGGAGGAATTAAGTATCATTATATATAAAGAAGAAAGGCAGCAGTGATGAAGAATACTTGATGCAGTTTGACAAACTGAAGACTCTACAGTGTGTCTAGTGCTTGCAGTAGTGAATCACTCAAAAGGAGGGACTCTGTTGCTCAATAAGATGTAAGTTGCTAAATATCTAAAGTGAGGATAAAGCACCTGAGGAAGCATGTTAAGAAACTGGAGAAGTGCAGAAGTATGCAACAAGGCTTGTTCCTGAGTTATGGGGTGTAGGAAGAGGCTAATGGAATTACATCTAGTGACATTGGAAGATAAAAGAACCAGAGGAGATATGATAATAGCATATAAAATATTCTGGGGAATTAATAGGGTAGAAAGGGACGGGCTTTTTGAGAAACGAGAACTCCACGACACAGCTGGAAGTTAGACAGATGAGCCACAGGGATTTAAGGAAGTATTTCTTCAGCCTCAAGGTGGTCAAAAAGTGGAATGATCTTGGTGAAGAAGTGGTAGAGGCATTCTTAATACATAGCTTTAAGAGCAGGTATAATAAGGCCCGAAAGGAAGGAGGGAATGAATCTGGCAAGCTGGAAATTGAGAAGCGAGACCAGGTGCTAAGACTTGACCCTTGCAGCCATATATATAAGAGAGTTCCACACATTGCCCTCAAACACATTTCCACTGCCTCCAGCCTCTTCCATATAAGTGTTGGTATTATCACTGATGCAGTATTTTCAGTATAGTACATATATAAAACTGAATTGAAGTGCTTTCAGAAACTTTACTCCACTTAACATTTAATAAAATACTCCTGAAATCATGTTGTGCAGTGTCAAAATTCCTTCAGAAAATTTTGGAAGGTTGAGAAATGCTAGCATTTGCCAGGATAAAATATGAGAGGGCATCAGCTACACTCATTAACTACTGTAGAAGCATTCATGATGGCATTATACTTTCAGGTCAGATAACAGCTGCAGGCAAGGTTCCTCCTGCTAAAGTTTTGGTCATTGGTGGTGGTGTAGCAGGTCTGGCTGCTGTTGGACAAGCTAAAAATATGGGTGCCATTGTGCGTGCCTTTGACACTCGAGCAGCTGTCAAAGAACAAGTTGAATCTTTTGGAGCAGAGTTCTTGGAAGTCCATGTTGAGGCAAGTTTCCTAAATGCTCTTAACTATAATGGTTCTTGTTGTTTCTTTGTTTTTTGTTTTTTTAAATTTTTCTTAATTTACATTGAACTTTGATTAATATCCTTACGAAAACAAAAAGCTTTAGAGAGGGAAAAAATAGGGTGGCATTGTCTGGTTATTAGGGAAGATGATAGTTTTTGTGATACACTATTCTTGTTCAAAATATTTATCTTAAATTTAATAGAGTAGAGAGGTTTTGGAAATGCCTTAAATAAAGGTCTGATAGTGATAAAATAATAAACATCCAAGCAATATTGTATGGATGTGTACAATTACATGTGATTTTATGCTTTTTTCAGTCCCCTTTATAGTGATTTTTGCATTTGTATAATAGTATTTTTATGGCTGCTTAAAGAGAGGATGTCCAATAATGCCAGTTATCAGTTAAATCTGAATGATGAGACTGTTTCTTTATAACTGTAATCATAATGGGCATTTCCAGAAACAGTGGGCTTCTGTTTAAAATCAATTTGGAAATAAATGGTATAAAATACCGACACAATGGCAATATAAACACAAATGCAGTATAATGTGATCCTTTATTGACTACGTTTCGCCCACACAGTGGGCTTTTTCAAGTCACAAACAGAACTACCTGGGGTGGAAGGAACGCGAGTATTTATAGTCCGGCTGAGGTCAGGTGAAGAATGCTGCATCTGATGATGTACCGAGTGGGGTTATAGAGTCTAAAAACTTGGGTAGCTTGGAAAGGAGATTGGATAAGTTTGTGAGCAGACCTTCTACAGTGTTCTTATGTGGGATAGCGATGAAGAAGTTTCTTGGCAAGTGGTTCAGCTAGTTATAGAAGCCACTATTCTGGTTGAAGTTGTCGGATGTAGAAATAAGTGATGATTCCAGGATTCTTCGGTATTGAGTGTTGTCTTCTGTGGCGATAAGTCTTGAGTTTCTGTAGTTTATCAAGTGGTTGTGTGAATTACGGTGTTGTACGCAGGCATTCCTTGTGTCGTCAGACCTGCTTGCGTATTGGTGTTCTGAAATACGTGTTTGGAGGTCCCTTGATGTTTCGCCCACGTATAACTTGTTGCAGTCATTACAAGGGATTATGTATACCCCTGCAGAGGATGGAGGCTTGTCCTGCCTACTACTGGTGATGTCCTTGATGGTCGTGGTTGTGGAGGTAGATACTTGGAATGATGTTTTGGCAAAGATGTTGGAAACATGTTTGGCAATGGAGTTGGTGGGAAGACTATGTATCTCTTCTCGGCAGTGTCTTCTCTGGGTGTGTTGAAGATGTTTAATGCTCGCCGTCTGCAGTCTCTGATGAAGTGACGAGGATAGTGGAGTTTAGAAAATATTTGTTCAATTATAGTGCATTCTTCCTCAAGGAACTCGTTGCTGCAGATTCTGAGTGCACGCAGGAAGAAGCCTATAATTAAAACCACGTTTGGTTTTGCTGTCGTGGTGAGAGTAGAAGTGGAGAAGATCGTTTTGGTTGGTGGGTTTTCGATAGACTTTAAAACGAAGTTCGTGGTCAGCTTTGCAGAGCAGGACATCAAGGAAAGGAAGAGTGTTGTCGACTTCTTCTTCAAGTGTGAACTGGATTGAAGGCTCGACCTGGTTGAGCTTGTCTTGGAGAGCTTGAACGTTGAAGCGTTTAGGAGTTATGAGGAGAATGTCGTCAACATAACGGAGCCAGGTGACAGACGAAGGAATAATGGTGGAGAAACGTTCGGCTTCTAGAGAGGTGTTTGGCGAGAATTCTCGCCAAACACCTCTCTAAACTCTTGGGCACTATCAGTCCAGCACATCTCAAACACTCAGGTGATCTTCTCAATCGCATTCGCAACATCAACATCAGGAACAAGAAACTTTCCAGCCTTGACGTGACTTCCCTATTCACCAAAGTACCTACTACACAAGCCATCGATCTCTTGCGCAGGAAAATTGACGATTCACTTGATCTTCCCATTCCAGCCAGCGACTTCATCGACCTTGTTGAACTATGTGTTGGCTTTACGTGTTTCTCTTTCGAAAATCACCTCTTTCAGCAGACTTTTGGACTACCCATGGGTTCGCCACTCAGTGCAGTCCTGGCGAACCTATACATGGAACATCTAGAAGCCGAACGTTTCTCCACCATTATTCCTTCGTCTGTCACCTGGCTCCGTTATGTTGACGACATTCTCCTCATAACTCCTAAACGCTTCAACGTTCAAGCTCTCCAAGACAAGCTCAACCAGGTCGAGCCTTCAATCCAGTTCACACTTGAAGAAGAAATCGACAACACTCTTCCTTTCCTTGATGTCCTGCTCTGCAAAGCTGACCACGAACTTCGTTTTAAAGTCTATCGAAAACCCACCAACCAAGACGATCTTCTCCACTTCTACTCTCACCACGACACCAAAACCAAACGTGGTGTAATTATAGGCTTCTTCCTGCGTGCACTCAGAATCTGCAGCAACGAGTTCCTTGAGGAAGAATGCACTATAATTGAACAAATATTTTCTAAACTCCACTATCCTCGTCACTTCATCAGAGACTGCAGACGGCGAGCATTAAACATCTTCAACACACCCAGAGAAGACACTGCCGAGAAGAGATACATAGTCCTTCCCACCAACTCCATTGCCAAACATGTTTCCAACATCTTTGCCAAAACATCATTCCAAGTATCTACCTCCACAACCACGACCATCAAGGACATCACCAGTAGTAGGCAGGACAAGCCTCCATCCTCTGCAGGGGTATACATAATCCCTTGTAATGACTGCAACAAGTTATACGTGGGCGAAACATCAAGGGACCTCCAAACACGTATTTCAGAACACCAATACGCAAGCAGGTCTGACGACACAAGGAATGCCTGCGTACAACACCGTAATTCACACAACCACTTGATAAACTACAGAAACTCAAGACTTATCGCCACAGAAGACAACACTCAATACCGAAGAATCCTGGAATCATCACTTATTTCTACATCCGACAACTTCAACCAGAATAGTGGCTTCTATAACATAGCTGAACCACTTGCCAAGAAACTTCTTCATCGCTATCCCACATAAGAACACTGTAGAAGGTCTGCTCACAAACTTATCCAATCTCCTTTCCAAGCTACCCAAGTTTTTAGACTCTATAACCCCACTCGGTACATCATCAGATGCAGCATTCTTCACCTGACCTCAGCCGGACTATAAATACTCGCGTTCCTTCCACCCCAGGTAGTTCTGTTTGTGACTTGAAAAAGCCCACTGTGTGGGCGAAACGTAGTCAATAAAGGATCACATTATACTGCATTTGTGTTTATATTGCCAAAATCAATTTACCCAGTGAACCACAACGATAACTGACAATTTTGGTGTTTTCAGATTTTGCTGGGACAAAAATTTTGTCTAAAAGTCCAAAATCAATTAAATTGGGTTCAGTAAGTCAAAAGTTGCGCATTTTTTTTTAACATGTCCAGTTTAAGTTGAATGATATCTTTTTTAGAGAGGAAATCATCATTAAGCAAATCCTGCATCTTTCTTAATATAGGATTCCTTCTCAGAGGTCTAATTTTATGAAGCAGTACACACCGGAGTCATTATTTAAGAATATTGCTTGAGTACTTTTAGTGTACGATGCTTGCACTTTTGGGCCTGTAAAATTTACATTAATTCAAATTATCTACATGTACTTTGTTTGAAAGTTCTGAATGTCCTGGCCCAAGTGTATTCCATCCAGCAGGTTAGACTGCTGTATCGGAGTAGAACACAGTAAAGATTGCCATCCAGTGCACAAAACCATTCTTAGTAAATTCTCCACTAATAATTATTAATGTACAAGATGCCACATGTACAGTGGGGTGTTATCTCTCTTAATTTACAAGCATTTATTGTATAATTAACAGATTTCATTATAAATTATATTCAGGAATCTGGTGAGGGTACAGGTGGTTATGCAAAGGAGATGTCAAAAGAGTTTATTGAAGCAGAGATGGCATTGTTTGCAAAACAAGCCAAAGAAGTTGATGTTATCATTTCAACAGCTCTCATCCCTGGAAAGAAGGCTCCAGTTCTAATTAAAAGGGTAAGAATTTTATCCTTCTTTCAACACCCTGGACGTATCCCACCGAGGCAGGGTGGCCCAAAAAAGAAAAATGAAAGTTTTTCTCTATAAATTTAGTAATGTATACAGGAGAAGGGGTTACTAGCCCCTTGCTCCTGGCATTTTAGACGCCTGCTACGACATGCCTGGCTTACGGTGGAAGAATTCTGTTCCACTTCCCCATGGAGATAAGAGGAAATAAACAAGAACAAGAACTAGAAAGAAAATAGCAGAAAACCCAGAGGGGTGTGTGTATATATATGCTTGTTCATGTGTGTGTAGTGTAAGTAGAAGTAGCAAGACGTACATGAAATCTTGCATGTTTATGAGACAGAAAAAAGGACACCAGCAATCCTACCATCATGTAAAACAATTACAGGGTTTCGTTTTACATTCACTTGGCAGGATCCCATCAGTTCCAGCTGCTTTACCCCCTTTCATTCTACATAATGCCTCACGTACCTCCACCACACTTACATTCTGCTATTCTTCACTCCTAAAAGATGGTATACCTCCCTGGCCAGTGCATGAAATTACCGCCTTCCTTTCTTCCTCAACATTTAAAAGTTCCTCAACATATTCTCGCCATCTACCTAATACCTCCCTCTCCCCATCTACTAACTCCCCTACTCTGTTTTTTAACTGACAAATCCATACTTTCCCTAGGCTTTCTTAACTTCTTTAACTCCAAAATTTTTTCTTATTTTCATTAAAATTTCTTGACAGTGCCTCTCCCACTATCATCTGCTCTCCTTTTGCACTCTCTCACCACTCTCTTCACCTTTCTTTTACTCTCCATATACTCTGCTCTTCTTAAAACACTTCTGCTTTGTAAAAACCTCTCATAAGCTACCTTTTTCTCTTTTATCACACCCTTTACTTCATCATTCCACTAATCACTCCTCTTCCCTCCTGCCCCCACCCTCCTATAACCACAAACTTCTGCCCCACATTCTAATACTGCATTTTTAAAACTATTCCAACCCTCTTCACCCCCCCACTACTCATATTTGCACTAGCCCACCTTTCTGCCAATAGTCGCTTATATCTCGCCCGAACTTCCTCCTCCCTTAGTCTATACACTTTCACCTCCCTCTTACTTGTTGTTGCCACCTTCCTCTTTTCCCATCTACCTCTTACTCTAACTGTAGCTACAACTAAATAATGATCCGATATATCAGTTGCCCCTCTATAAACATGTACATCCTGGAGCCTACCCATCAACCATTTATCCACCAATACATAATCTAACAAACTACTTTCATTACGTGCTACATCATACCTTGTATATTTATTTATCCTCTTTTTCATAAAATATGTATTACTTATTACCAAATTTCTTTCTACACAGCTCAATTAAAGGCTCCCCATTTACATTTATCCCTGGCACCCCAAATTTACCTACTACTCCCTCCATAACATTTTTACCTACTTTAGCATTGAAATCCCCAACCACCATTACTCTCACACTTTATTCAAAACTCCCCACGCATTCACTCAACATTTCCCAGAATCTCTCTCTCTCTCCTCTACACTTCTCTCTTCTCCAGGTGCATACACACTTACTATAACCCACTTTTCACATCCAATCTTTATTTTACTCCACATAATCCTTGAATTTATACATTTGTAGTCCCTCTTTTCCTGCCATAGCTTATCCTTCAACATTATTGCTACTCCTTCTTTAGCTCTAACTCTATTTGAAACCCCTGACCTAATCCCATTTATTCCTCTCCACTGAAACTCTCCCACCCCCTTCAGCTTTGTTTCACTTAAAGCCAGACATCAAGTTTCTTCTCATTCATAACATCCACAATCATCTCTTTCTTATCATTTGCACAACATCCACGCACATTCAGACTTCCCACTTTGACAATTTTCTTCTTATTCTTTTTAGTAATCTTTACAGGAAAAGGGGTTACTAGCCCATTGTTCCCGGCATTTTAGTTGACTTTTACAACACGCATGGCTTACGGAGGAAAGATTCTTATTTTACTTCCCCATGGATATAAAAGGAAAAGTAATAAGACCAAGAACTATTAAGATAAAATCAAAGAAAACTCAGATGAGTGTGTATAAATAAACGTGTACATGTATGTGTAGTGTGACCTTAGTGTAAGTAGAAGTAGCAAGACATGCCTGTAATCTTGCATATTTATGAGACAGACAAAAGACACCAGCAATCCTACCATCATGTAAAACAATTACAGGCTTTCGTTTTACACTCACTTGGCAGGACGGTAGTACCTCTCTGAGTGGTTGCTGTCTACCAACCTACTACTTATCTTTATATCTGTTATTATTCTCCTCGTACAGCCTTTCCTCACTTAATAACGGAGTTCTGTTCCTAAGATCACGTCGGTAAACGAATTCGTTGCTAAGTGAGAAGCATACTGTAATGATAGTAGGTTTGTGTCCGGTGTCTTTGATATTGTTTTAATGTCACCTTTGCCCCATGTATAATATTTCTGGTATATTTTTAAATGTTTATATAGTAATGTACTGGATATTGTAATAAACAGAATAGAGAAAATCATCTCTAATATACATTATTTAGGTATGTATACTGGTCAGAGAGCCTGTCATAAGTCTGAGTCATCGGTAAAAGAGTACGTCGCTACGTGAAGAGAGGCTGTGTTACATCATCAGCTGACTGGGATATATCTGAATCCCATTTGTAATGGCCCGGGGCCTGGTGGCTGAAGCTCCTGCTTCACACACGGAGGGCCCGGGTTCAATTCCCGGCGGGTGGAAACATTTCGACAAGTTTCCTTACACCTGTTGTCCTGTTCACCTAGCAGCAAATAGGTACCTGGGTGTTAGTCGACTTTTGTGGGTCGCATCCTGGGGGACAAGATTAAGGAGCCCAATGGAAATAAGTTAGACAGTCCTCGATGACGCACTGACTTTCTTGGGTTATCCTGGGTGGTTAACCCTCCGGGGTTAAAAATCCGAACGAAATCTTATCTTATCACATAAACCAGAAACAATACTGGTCCTAAAACTGATCCTTTTGGAACCCCACTAATTACTCTTCCCCATTTTGTACACTATAACATTACTAAGTGGTCTTATGTAGAACACTTTTTGGGAATAACAGCATTATTGTATTTACAATTTATAGTTTATGGCCATATAACTTTTCTGTCTTATTCTTGTTTTCTTTGCCCTTCAGTATTTACATCTTCTATCTTAGAATCTCATTTTATATTGCTGTAAGTGCAAAGACCTTTATTTTTAATAGTCAATCTAGTTGTATAATTTGTGTATAAATAAACTTATATTCATTGTGAATATTCAAAGGTATTAATTGCTGGTTTGTCAAGAACATTTAGTAGTTACCTTTCTTACATAAAGGTGTTAGAGAGTACAAATCTAGGACAGGAATGAAACAACACTTCAAATGTTTCAGAATGCCTATTAAGAAAACTTTTTCTTCAGGAACATATTGAGGCCATGAAACCTGGTTCAGTTGTGGTAGATTTGGCTGCAGAAAGTGGAGGCAATATTGAAACGACTGTTCCTGGTGAGGTATCGGTTTACAAAGATGTCACTCACATTGGACTGACGGACCTGCCATCACGTCTAGCCACTCAAGCTTCATTTTTGTATGGCAATAACATCTCTAAGTTCCTGCTCTCCATTGGTGATAAAGATCATTTTAATATTAACTTAGATGATGAAGTAGTGAGAGGGTCCATAGTATTGCAAAATGGCAAGATGCTGTGGCCACCTCCTCCTCCCCCTGAGCCTTCACCAACAGTGGTGGCAAGTACAGCAGCTGTAGTGAAGGAACCACCACCCCCACCCAATTACTTCAACTTGACCCTTAAGGATGCTCTCATTTATACCTCAGGCAAGTACGAACATAATTTTAAATTTGTGTTCTTAACTGTATAGAAATTTACATTGCTGGGTACACCCTTGGAAGTGCATATTTAATGATGCTGTACTGAAATGTTAATGGTATGTTTCTGGACCATAAATCAGTGAGGGGCATATGCATTTTTTCTTCTGGGGAAATTTATTGTAACCACTAAGAGGAGATGCCAAATTTAGCAATGTATGTAATGAATTAAAGCTGCTTCAGAAATGGGTATATGTGCTTAAATATTTGTGGTTGCAGGGGTTGAGTCTCAGCTTTTAGCCCTATCTCTCAACTTGCTGCTTGCTGGAGTCACTTAACAGGGCTATTGGAGGAGTGTAAATAATTAGAATCAACAATAGCATTACAGTAGTTGCCAATTAATTTTCAACTTAGTGTCTTGTTCATCTTCAGAATTTTAAAATTAAAGACTTGAATTTGCTGATGTTAATAGTAAGTGTTGTAAACCAGAAACGAAAATAAGAGCAAATATTTTTTTCTCACTCTTAAGAACCATAAAGCTATAGGAAACTGTAGTTATTGCATTTTAAAAAAAATGTAGCAAGTTATGAATGTTCGATATTATATTTTCAAACAGATCCCAATGCTAAAACAACCTGTACATAACTTTTAGTTTGCACACTACCCCTTTAATGTAATTATTCACAGGTTTGGGTAGCTTGGTGAGCTTGGGCATGGGCTCGCCCAATGCTGCCATGACTCAGATGATGACCACATTTGCCTTGGCTGGAATTGTGGGCTATCACACAGTTTGGTCTGTCACTCCTGCTCTCCACTCTCCACTCATGTCAGTTACAAATGCCATTTCGGGTGAGTTTCATATAAACTTCTGTTAGGAGTTGATGGTATAATAAGAGCTGATCTAGATAAATTTTGTGTACCCTTTTTTTTTTTTTTTTTTTTTTTTTTTTTTTTTTTTTTACGTCAGCCATCTCCCACCGAGGCAGGGTGACCCAAAAAGAAAGAAAATACAATCATCATCATTCTTTCAACACTTTCACCTCACTTGCATAATCACTGTCTTTGCAGAGGCACTCGGATATGACAGTTCAGAAGTCCCTCCAAACTGCCAATATCCCAAACCCCCTCCTTTAAAGTGCAGACATTGTACTTGCTTAACAAGGCTTAAATAAGCTTAACAAATTGGTACATAGACATTTGCTCAAAGCTTGCTCTTGAATGTGTGATAAATTGGCAAGGGTTGTGACTAATTAAAAAATTTAAGGGAAGACAGCTGCCTGACTAGTGTGATAATCAATTTTGTGATAGTGAATACCTAAGTATTTAATGAATGAAAAAATTCTATTGAACTGTTTGCACAAGGATCACTAATTGGCAAAACACTTAATGAAATTTGCCTGCTAATAATGTTATTGCCAATATCACACCCCAAACAAATAATGTGTAAGCACTAAATATTAGGGAATTCCTTTTCCATAGCCAGAATTTGGCAATGTTCCTGTTTCAGCATGGCCATTTGAATTTCCAGTGCATCAATCTGTTTGGCAATTCATCATTCAGAATTGTATTCAGTCTTTCAGCATCTGACCATTTCATACTGTACAACCTTTAAAATACATTGTGAATGATGATTGATAATATTATTATAATAGCAAAGAACTATAATTTTTTTTTTTTTTTTTTCCAACAAGTCTGCCGTCTCCCACCGAGGCAGGGTGACCCAAAAAGAAAGAAAATCCCCGAAAAGAAAATACTTTCATCATCATTCAACACTTTCACCTCACTCACACATAATCACTGTTTTCGCAGAGGTGCTCAGGACACAACAGTTTAGAAGCATATACTCATAAAGATACACAACATATCCCTCCAAACTGCTAATATCCCAAAACCCCTCCTGTAGAGTGCAAGCATTGTACTTCCCATTTCCAGGACTCAAGTCCGGCTATATAAAAATAACCGGTTTCCCTGAATCCCTTCACTAAATATTACTCTGCTCACTATAAATATTTGTATTAAATACAAAGGTTATTTCAATGACAGTAAATTAGTGGGAAAGCATAAGTGTGGGTTCCAATAATAAACTATTTATTATTAACACACCATCTGTTTCCCACCAAGGCAGGTGGCCCGATAAAGAAAACCTTTCATTATCATTCACTCCATCATTGTCTTGCCAGAGGCATGCTTACACTACAGTTATAAAGCTGCAACATTAATACCCCTCCTTCAGAGTGCCAACACTGTACTTCCCATCTCCAGGAATCAAGTCCGCCTGCCGGTTTCCCTGAATCCCTTCACAAAATGTTACCTTGCTTACACACCAACAGCACATCAAGTCCTAAAAACCATTTGTCTCCATTCACTCCTACCTAACATGCTTACGAACGCTTGCTGGAAGTCCAAGCCCCTCACATACAAAACCTCCTTTACCCCCTCCCTCCAACCTTTCCTAGGCCAACCCCTACCCTGCCTTTCCTCCACTACAGATTTATACACTCTGTCATTCTGTTTCATTCCCTCCTCTCTACATGTCCAAACCATGTCAATAACCCCTCCTCAGCCCTGTGGATAATAGTTTTTTTTAACCCACACCTCCTTCTAACCTACAAACTACGGATTCTCTGCATTATATTCACACCACACATAGTTAAATTGGAACTTTTACAGCTTGCCTGACAATATTGCACACATTTCCTTGTGTTGCTGGGTAATTGTGTGCATGTTGCAATATTTCTCTGATTCATGATAATTTGTTTGTAAATTGGACCCTCGAATTTCATAATCCCTTTTCTGTGTGTAAAGCTATAGTTATCCTCTATAAAATGTATTTTTTGCTTATTATTTTTTTTTTTATTATCACACCGGCCGATTCCCACCAAGGCAGGGTGGCCCGAAAAAGAAAAACTTTCACCATCATTCACTCCATCACTGTCTTGCCAGAAGGGTGCTTTACACTACAGTTTTTAAACTGCAACATTAACCCCCTCCTTCAGAGTGCAGGCACTGTACTTCCCATCTCCAGGACTAAAGTCCGGCCTGCCGGTTTCCCTGAATCCCTTCATAAATGTTACTTTGCTCACACTCCAACAGCACGTCAAGTATTAAAACCATTTGTCTCCATTCACTCCTATCAAAACACGCTCACGCATGCTGCTGGAAGTCCAAGCCCCTCGACACACAAAACCTCCTTTACCCCCTCCCTCCAACCCTTCCTAGGCCGACCCCTACCCCGCCTTCTTCCACTACAGACTGATACACTCTTGAAGTCATTCTGTTTCGCTCCATTCTCTCTACATGTCCGAACCACCTCAACAACCCTTCTCAGCCCTCTGGACAACAGTTTTGGTAATCCCACACCTCCTCCTAACTTCCAAACTACGAATTCTCTGCATTATATTCACACCACACATTGCCTCAGACATGACATCTCCACTGCCTCCAGCCTTCTCCTCGCTGCAACATTCATCACCCACGCTTCACACCCATATAAGAGCGTTGGTAAAACTATACTCTCATACATTCCCCTCTTTGCCTCCAAGGACAAAGTTCTTTGTCTCCACAGACTCCTAGTGAAACCACTCACTCTTTTTCCCTCATCAATTCTATGATTCACCTCATCTTTCATAGCCCCATCCGCTGAAAACGTCCACTCCCAAATATCTGAATAGTTCACCTCCTCCATACTCTCTCCCTCCAATCTGATATTCAATCTTTCATCACCTAATCCTTTTGTTATCCTCAAAACCCTTACTCTTTCCTGTATTCAACCTTTAATTTTCTTCTTTTGCACACCCTACCAAATTCATCCACCAATCTCTGCAACTTCTCTTCAGAATCTCCCAAGAGCACAGTGTCATCAGCAAAGAGCAGCTGTGACAACTCCCACTTTGTGTGTGATTCTTTATCTTTTAACTCCACGCTTATATTTCCCATAATAAAAAATGTAAATCCAGTTAATCCATTCCAGACACCCAAAAATATTAACAAAAAATACATTTTATGGAGAATAACTATAGTTGTGTATCTTTATACGTATATGCTTCTAAACTGTTGTATTCTGAGCACCTCTGCAAAAACAGTAATTGTGTGAGTGTGGTGAAAGTGTTGAATGATGATGAAAGCATTTTCTTTTTGGGGATTTTCTTTCTTTTTTGGGTCACCCTGCCTCGGTGGGAGACGGCCGACTTGTTAAAAAAAAAAAAAAAATATATATAGTTTTACATTCAGAAAAGGGATTATGAAATTCGAGGGTCCACTGAACTACTACCCTGTGTATAAATATTTTTAGCTATTATTAGCTTCCTAATATCAAGACATATTGCACTGAAGTAATGCCTTGAAAGTCAGAAGCTTCTTGCATGATGCCACAAGGAATATAAAAGCCAATCTGTGTTACAGGGATCACTGCTGTGGGTGGTCTGCTGCTGATGGGTGGAGGTTACTATCCTTCGAACATCATCCAAGCCCTAGCTGCATCTGCTGCCTTTATCTCTTTCATTAACATCTTTGGTGGATTTATTGTTACTCAGAGAATGTTGGACATGTTCAAACGGTATGTATGATCACTTAATTTTAAAGAGCCATATTACTTTTAAAATTTATTTACTTGTACAGTGAATAAAGTAACACTATTTTTTTGGTATAATAAAAGTTATGAGTGTCTTCACTTGTTTTTACTTGTACAGGCCAACTGACCCTCCAGAATTCAATTACTTGTATGCCATTCCTGCTGCTACCTTTATTGGTGGTTATGCAGCCACTGCTGCTGGTGGTTACACAGAGAGTCACCAGATGGCCTACCTTGCTGCCTCCCTCTGCTGTGTTGGTGCCCTGGCAGGACTCTCAAACCAGAAGACTTGCAGACTGGGCAACACTCTTGGAATGGTGGGATATTATCATTTTGCTCTTTTGAGGAAAATTAATGGTGCGTTAATAGAAGCAATTTGAGAACTGAATCTTCTAATGCGAGTTAAGTTTTGGATTGGTTGCATAAAAATAAAGAATTCATCTAAGTACTGTATATGTGGCAATTTATATCAACAAATGAATGCAAAGGTCTCAGAATTTGTCACATGGCTGTGCTAGATTTTACACAATGGAGAGAAATTAGGTAAAAAAACTTTGATTTGTTTCATTAAACATAAGTCAAATTACTTAATATGAATCTGAGAATTAGTTTGCTTTTTTTTCTTGCATTAAAGGGGAATAAAGAAAGGTTAATACAAAAGTGATTTAAAAAATGACACACTTGAGAGGTTGTTAAAATAAGGTATTAACTCTGATTTCATATTAGTGAACTATATCGTCCTTTAATTTTACCGATTATTTTTATGAAAGATTTTTAAGCTATTTTTGTTATTTATTTCTTGTACCATTATCTGCTTAGATTGGTGTATCTGGTGGCATTGCTGCAACCATAGGCCAGCTTGTACCATCAAATCCAGTGTTGATGCAAATGGGTGTTGCAGCAGGCATGGGTGGAATTATTGGTACCACTATTGCTAAAAAGATTGAGATTACTGACCTGCCACAGCTAGTAGCTGCCTTCCACAGGTACATACGTCACTATTTTAATTATTTTTTAGAGTTTCTGTAAATGTCTGCTGTTAACAGCAGGAGTCATATTAGTAGTACAGTGATACTTCGGGATACTAACAGCTCAAAACCTGAATAATTATAATAATCTAATTACATTATTCAGTATAGGAACAAATTTGTTCAGTATCAGCACTCGAGCAACCTTCTGGAACGAAATAAGTTCATATCCCAAGGTACCACTGTATTTGTTAACTGTTTTTATTTTTCCTAGGTAGTAGGTTGGTAGACAGCAACTGCCCAGGGAGGTACTACCATCCTGCCAAGTGAGTGTAAAACGAAAGCCTGTAGTTGTTTCACACGATGGTAGGATTGCTGGTGTCTATTTTTTGTCTCATAAACATGCAAGGTCTCAGGTACGTCTTGCTACTTCTACTTACACTTAGGTCACACTACACATACATGTACAAGCGAATATATATATATATATATATACAGTGGACCCCCGCTTAATGATCACCTCCCAATGCGAAAAATTATGTAAGTGTATTTATGTAAGTGCATTTGTACGTGTATGTTTGGGGGTCTGAAATGGACTAATCTACTTCACAGTATTCCTTATGGGAACAAATTCGGTCAGTACTGGCACCTGAACATACTTCTGGAATGAAAAAATATCGTTAACCGGGGGTCCACTGTATATATATATTTTTTTTTTTTTTTTTTTTCAACAAGTCGGCCGTCTCCCACCGAGGCAGGGTGACCCAAAAAAGAAAGAAAATCCCCAAAAAGAAAATACTTTCATCATCATTCAACACTTTCACCACACTCGCACATTATCACTGTTTTTGCAGAGGTGCTTAGAATACAACAGTCTAGAAGCATACACATATAAAGATACACAACATATCCCTCCAAACTGCCAATATCCCAAACCCCTCCTTTAAAGTGCAGGCATTGTACTTCCCATTTCCAGGACTCAAGTCCGACTATATGAAAATAACCGGTTTCCCTGAATCCCTTCACTAAATATTACCCTGCTCACACTCCAACAGATCGTCAGGTCCCAAGTACCCCCGCATAGCGACCTTAATCCGTGCAAGAGGGCTGGTTGTTATGCGAAATGTTCGGTATGCGAATGAATTTTCCCCATAAGAAATAATGGAAATCAAATTAATCCGTGCAAGACACCCAAAAGTATGAAAAAAAAAATTTTACCACAAGAAATATACATTTTCCTACACACAAAGAGAAGGATACATGCACAATAGTAGAGTAGTACATGCACAATATATATTGTGCATGTATACTCTACTAAAAGAAGAATAAAAGACACTTTTCCTTTATTGAAGATGCAGCAATGACTGATGAGACACTGTGTCCTGGGGTGCCTTTTCCTCCTGAGTACTGCAGGTCCGTTTGGTATTTCTTCCAGAACAGGCCTTATCACACTGTGTATGTCACTACGATTCTTAAATCTCTCAAACCAACCTTTGCTGGCTCTAAATTCACCAATATGAGCACTAGTTCCAGGCATTTTTCCTGTTCACCTGGGTGTTAGTCGACTGATGTGGGTTGCATCCTGGGAGACAAGATTAAGGACCCCAATGGAAATAAGTTAGACAGTCTTCGATGACACTGACTTTTTTGGGTTATCCTGGGTGGCAAATCCTCTGGGGTTAATTGTTTCTTGGTATTCTCAATAAGCCACACCAACAACGGTGGTACAGCAGCAGCAGCAGACGATGCTACAGCAGCAGCAGCAGCAGCAGACGATGCTACAGCAGCAACTGACGATGTTACAGCAGCAGCAGACGATGCTACAGCAGCAGCAGACGGTACTACAGCAGCAGCAGCAGCTGACGGTGGTACAGCAGCAGCAGCAGCAGCAGCAGACGATGCTACAGCAGCAGCAGCAGCAGCAGACGATGCTACAGCAGCAACTGACGATGTTACAGCAGCAGCAGACGATGCTACAGCAGCAGCAGACGATGCTACAGCAGCAGCAGACGATGCTACAGCAGCAGCAGACGATGCTACAGCAGCAGCAGACGGTGCTACAGCAGCAGCAGCAGCTGACGGTGGTACAGCAGCAGCAGCAGCTGTACCACCAATAGTAGCGATGGTTGATTGGGGTTTTATTATACAACCTGGCCAGCTCGAGACACGCACTCCACTTTCATACTTATCAATGATCTTTTTATTCATCTCCAAAGTAATTCTCACCCTTATTGCTGTAGGGTTGGCACTAGAAGCTATCTTGGGGCCCATGGTCACTTATTTTCCAGAAAAAAATCACCAAAAACACTGTAATAATACGAAATGTTCCAATTGTATGCTTGGATGTTACCGCGGAGGCTGGCTGGTAAACAATGCCACCGGCGGAACATGTGAGCGTGGCTCAGGCCACACATTGGACGCGTCTCGGACGAAGGGCGCTGAGCGGGTTTTTGGGGGGTATGCGAGGCAAAATTTTAGCGATCAAAGCGTCCGGTATGCGGATTGTCCGTTATGCAAGGCGTCCGGTATGCGAGGGTCCACTGTATATATATATATATATTATATATATATATATATATTTTATGTAGTAGGTTGGTAGACAGCAACCACCCAGGGAGGTACTACCGTCCTGCCAAGTGAGTGTAAAACGAAGCCTGTGATTGTTTTACATGATGGTAGGATTGCTGATGTCTTTTGTCTGTCTCATAAATATGCAAGATTACAGGCATGTCTTGCTACTTCTACTTACACTTAGGTCACACTACACATACATGTACACATTTATTTATACACACTCATCTGAGTTTTCTTTGATTTTATCTTAATAGTTCTTGGTCTTATTAATTTTCCTTTTATATCCATGGGGAAGTGGAAAAAGAATCTTTCCTCCGTAAGCCATGCGTGTTGTAAAAGTCAACTAAAATGCCGGGAACAATGGGCTAGTAACCCCTTTTCCTGTAAAGATTACTAAAAAGAATAAGAAGAAGAAAATTGTCAAGTGGGAAGTACTGAATGTGCGTGGATGTTGTGCAGATGATAAGAAAGAGATGATTGTGGATGTTATGAATGAGAAAAAGCTGGATGTCCTGGCTTTAAGTGAAACAAAGCTGAAGGGGTGGGAGAGTTTCAGTGGAGAGGAATAAATGGGATTAGGTCAGGGGTTTCAAATAGAGTTAGAGCTAAAGAAGGAGTAGCAATAATGTTGAAGGATAAGCTATGGCGAGAGAAGAGGGACTATAAATGTATTAATTCAAGGATTATGTGGAGCAAAAATAAAGATTGGATGTGAAAAGTGGGTTATAATAAGCGTGTATGCACCTGGAGAAGAGAGAAGTGTAGAGGAGAGAGAGAGATTTTGGGAAATGTTGAGTGAATGCGTGGGGAGTTTTGAATCAAGTGTGAGAGTAATGGTGGTTGGGGATTTTAATGCTAAAGTGGGTAAAAATGTTATGGAGGGAGTAGTAGGTAAATTTGGGGTGCCAGGGTAAATTAAATGGGGAGCCTTTAATTGAGCTATGTGTAGAAAGAAATTTGGTAATAAGTAATACATATTTATGAAAAAGAGGATAAAAATATACAAGGTATGATGTAGCACGTAATGAAAGTATTTTTATTAGATTATGTATTGGTGGATAAAAGGTTGATGGGTAGGCTCCAGGATGTACATGTTTATAGAGGGGCAACTGATATATCGGATCTTTTATTTAGTTGTAGCTACAGTTAGAGTAAGAGGTAGATGGAAAAGAGGAAGGTGGCAACAACAAGTAAGAGGGAGGTGAAAGTGTATAAACTAAGGGAGGGGGAAGTTCGGGTGAGATAAAAGCGACTATTGGCAGAAAGGTGGGCTAGTGCAAAGATGATTTAGTGGGGGGTTGAAGAGGGTTGGAATAGTTTTAAAAATGCAGTATTAGAATGTGGGGCAGAAGTTTGTGGTTATAGGAGGGTGGGGCAGGAGGAAAGAGGGGGTGATTGGTGGAATGATGAAGAAAAAGGGTGTGATAAAAGAGAAAAAGGTAGCTTATGAGAGGTTTTTTACAAAGCAAAAGTGTTATATAAGAAGAGCAGAGTATATGAGAGTAAAAGAAAGGTAAAGAGAGTGGGAAGAGTGCAAAAGGAGAGCAGATGATAGAGTGGGAGAGGCACTGTCAAGAAATTTAATGAAAATAAGAAAAAATTTTGGAGCGAGTTAAACAAGTTAAGAAAGCCTAGGGAAATATGGATTTGTCAGTTAAAAACAGAGTAGGGGAGTTAGTAGATGGGGAGATGGAGGTATTGGGTAGATGGGGAGAAATTTTGAGGAACTTTTAAATGTTAAGGAAGAAACAGAGGCATAATTTCATGCACTGGTCAGGGAGGTATACCATCTTTTAGGGTAAGAAGAGCAGAATGTAAGTGTGGGGGAGGTACGTGAGGCATTACGTAAAATGAAAGGGGGTAAAAGCACTGGAACTGATGGGGTCATGACAGAAATGTTAAAAGCAGGGGGGATAAGTGTTGGAGTGGTTGGTACTTTTGTTTAATAAATGTATGAAAGAGGGGAAGGTACCTAGGGATTGGCAGAGAGCATGTATAGTCCCTTTATATAAAGGGAAAGGGGACAAAAGAGACTGTAAAAATTATAGAGGAATAAGCTTACTGAGTATACCAGGAAAAGTGTACGGTAGGGTTATAATTGAAAGAATTAGTATCGTAAGGGTTCTTAAATGGAGATATCGTAGGTTGAAAGTAGACACACTTGTAGGATGGTAAATATATTGTCAGACTGAGATGAGAGATGGAGCCCGGTGCCAAGCCTGTTCACGTCTTGTAGGTCTGCCGCCGAGTGAGGACGGGACAGGGGGATCACTGCCCATGTGTATCCCTATGACGTCACACAAAGCCAAAGGCCTACGAGGGATCTCGTGTCTAAAGCACAGGGATGATACTAATATGCTATGCTATATAATACTGGGAATACAGGGATCAGCAACTATGCTGACATTAGAGGTAAGACAGAATGTAGGATTGCGGATGAGCAA